TTTATCCGTTAAGATAACATTAATTTTCATATTATGAATTTCTTTGGGTTGTCGTTCTCATCAATTGAATAAGTTGCATACATTTTTTAAGTCTGAATACCATTTGGCACCCATCTTGGCTGCATGTAGGGATAGGTCAGGTGACCTTTAACAAGCCTCTTATGATTTCTCATCTCCAAAAGCGGATCCACTACATCTTTTAGGTAGTTGTAGTATCGAGACACCACTTTTCTACCTTTGCAGTCTTTGAGATTTTTGCCGTAGTCGAAGAGACTATCCTCACGATACGAAGCAAGGGTCGCGCCAAAGGAAGCTTGAGACTAAAAACAGAAATTGAAAATTCGATCGTAAATCATGAGAAAATGAACCAAGAGAGGGAATCTCTGCTATTCGTGCTCCTAATTATCATAGGCATCGTTTGATACTATTCTTAAAATCACGTTTGCTATCGTTTGGTTTTCTGCACGCGCATATTGCGCGCGTTCTAAGCAGCTGTTTCTTTACGGTTTTTTCGAAAAAAACACATGAAGACATGGGCAGCCACAACGTAGAGCGCGTGGAAAAAAGATCAAATCAATTATTCTAACGATAGCGTCAAAGATTCTAAAAATAGTATTAAAGAGTGCTCATGATAGGGTGTTATATATATGGAATTCCTTTTCTTAGTTACTATTTTCTTGCAAAATTTATATTGGAATTACACGAGCTGACAATATTTTATTGAAATGGAAACTGAATTTGAAATTACATTATCTAGTATTTGCGGCATCATAGGGGGTGTGGAGGGGGGTAACCAACTTTCAGCTATCTACTAATTTTTAAGTCAGTTGTCAGTTAACTGTTAGTATAGGTAATCATATKGTTTCAAGTTCAATTAGAGATTAATTCGCACGAGTGCGTTTTTCAAAGAGTAATTGCACGAGACCGTAGGTCGAGCTCAATTTCAGCTTTTTGAAAAACACACGAGTGCAAATTATCTCAAATCGAACGAGAAACCGTATGATTACTTATTAATAATATACATGAAAAAACATTACAAAAGTGAAGAAATATCTGACGACGTGTGCATTTAATTCAACTTATAATATTTTATGAAATTTGTTCGCGTTTACAGCAAACTATATTCAAAGCGATTTCAATCTCATGTCTTAGTAGTATAGGCCGCACCGCAAGGGCCGGATTTTGGACGAGCAAAAGGACGAGCAGGACGAGTACATTAATTATTCTTCACATATTAGCATAAAATGACGAGCAGGTATTGTTTGAGGTTGCCATGACGTCCAATTGACGTCATGAGTTCATTGTTATGCAAGAGTTTTGGACGAGTAGGACGAGTACATTAATTATTCATCATTAAAAAGACGAGCACACCAATTGTTTATTAAACCATTACCATAAAATGACGAGCAGGTAATGTTGGTCCGTGAAACACTCCACAAAGAGCTTTTCAATTTAGTTGGCGCGAATTGGACGTATGAAATTTGCCTGATTTTTGAATTTTTTCAAAAATCTAAAATGACTTGGTGATATTCAAAGGAATTGGAGAGTAGTGTTCTTAAGTGTTTTTCCTTTGATTAAAGCCATTTTTGTTGCTCATCTTTATCAAACTCAGAATTTTTTGCTACAATATTTATCATGAGCAAAATGTTTTGCACTATTCTCAGAATGGACGAGGTAAACATTTTGAGTAGTTTTACTTAAAAAGTTTCGACAGTAATCTGTGTAGGCTTTCGTAAGCAAATTTTATAGTGATTAAGACAATAGTTTGTAAATTACTAGTAAATATGTGTCGATGATAGTGTTTCATCCGAGCTGTATTAAATTCCGAAGAATTCAGAAACTGAATATTTAGGCTTTGAAATCCGAGGCTTTGGAAACTCGCCCGGCGGCTCAAGGCTTCTAACCTTTCCTGGTCTTTGCCTACATTCAGCTGATTGATCAGCCTTCTCTTAACTTTAAAACTACTCTGTATAGCAACTGCTTGAAATATTCTTGAGTCATTTTAGAGTTTCGCAAAAAGATGAGTTAATGGCCGACGTTGGGCGATCATGTTCGTAGACTTCATTTGCATATGCCCAAGATAATTGTACGGCTCGGAAAAGACCAAAATCCATTCAGGATTTTAACGGTGGGTCGCGATGCAACGATTTTCGCTGTAATTTAACAATTTCAATTTTCCGGCGCTATTTTGGCGAAGGGTTTATTTTTAAAGTTTATGTAACGTGTTATGTTAAGTCATACATGTGATTTATTCCTTGGTTCTCAATATCATTTCTAAAACCTTTGCCAAAGACATTGTACACGTTTACGGCTAAACATGCTCTGTTTGGTAGCCTCTCTTGAGCCTCTCTTAAAGTCATTCATTAGCGATAAACTTGCTAGAAAACGCATTTAAAGACTTACCGCTGATTGTGCTCTGTTTGGCAACCTCTCAGGACCAAATGTGGTATTAGGAATCCTTTCAGAATCGTAGAGTTTCAGGGGTAAATTGGGGACATACGTAACGTAGTCTATCATTGGATAATTGACAGACGCATGCTGGCCAGTCATGGCCAGTCATCAACCAAATGATTTGAGTGAATGTATCAACCAGCTGCTCCTTGGTGTCGATCGTTGCAGGAAACCCGCGAAGCTGTTAGATAAAATATATATGCGTGTAAAACGTATTAAAAAGTATCAGAATTTAATTTTGAAGAATAATGGTTCTGAAACAGTTAATAAACTTGAATTACAGTTTTTAGTTAATCTCGTTTTCGGCAAAAGAGAAACTAGAAACGTGGTGAGAAAGTTTGCAAAAGGTAAAGTGAGAAGTGCAGGGAAGGGATGAAAACGTCGAGGTAAAACGTTGAGTCCTGCCGTTTGCAGGAAGGGAAAATGGAC